TCGCTCTGTTGCCCAGGCTGGAGTGCAGTGGCACCATCTTGGCTCACTGCAACTTCTGCCTTCTGGGTTCAAATGATTCTCTTGCCTCAGCCTCCTGAGTAGCTGGGATTGCAGGTGCGCACCACCACACCTGGCTAATTTTTGTAAGTTTAGTAGAGAAGGGGTTTCACCATATTGGCCAGGCTAGTCTTGAACTCCTGGCCTCAAGTGATCTGCCCACCTCAGCCTCCCAAAGTGCTTTGCCCATTTTTAAATAGGATTATTTGTTTTCATGTTATTGAATAGTTTGAGTTCCTTGTATATTTTTGATATTATTTTTTTAATTACTGTGTGATTTGCAGATATTTTCTCCTAAACCGTAGGTTGTCTCTTACTGTTGTTTCCTTAACTGCAGAAGCTTTTTAGTTTGATGCAATCCTGTTAATCTTCTTTTACTTTCATTGCCTTTGCATTTATGGTCTTATTCAAGAAGTCTCTGTCTATACCACTGTTAAGGAAGCTTTCCCCCTGTGTTTTCTCCTAGTAGTTTTGCAGTTTCAGGTTTTGTGTTTATGTCTTCAGTGCGTTTTAAACTGTTTCTTGAATAAGGGATGAGATGATGCCTATTTTCATTTTGCATGTGGATATCCAATTCTCCCTGCTCCATTTATTGAAGAGATTGTACTTTCTCCATTGTGTGTCCTTGGCACCTTTGTTGAAAATCAGTTGACCGTAAATGTGTGAGTTTATTTTTGGGTGCTCTATCCTGTTACATTGGTCAGTGTGTCTGTTTTTATGACAATACCATGCTGGGTTTTTGTTTGTTTGTTTGTTTTTGATACAGAGTCTTGCTCTGTCACCCAGGCTGGAGTACAGTGGCACAACCTCAGCCCACTGTAGCCTCCGCCTCCCAGGTTCAAGTGATTCTCCTGCCTCAGCTTCCTGAGTAGCTGGGATTTCCAGCGTGGGCCACTATGCCTGGCTAATTTTTGTATTTTTAGTAGAGATGGGGCTTCACCATGTTAACCAGGCTGGTCTTGAACTCCTGACCTCAGGTGATCCACCCACCTCAGCCTCCCAAAGTTCTGGGATTACAGGCATGAACCACCACACTCAGCCACTATACTGTTTTGATTACTCTGGCTTTGTGATATATTTTAAATGGTAGTTGCTTAAGATTGCTTTGGCTGTTTGGGGTCTTTTGTGATTCCATATGAATTAGGATTGTTTTTCCATTTCTGTGAATTACAGTAGAATTTTGATAGGGATTGCATTGAATCTTTAGAGTAATACCTTTATTTTGAAAAACATTCTTATCATTTATAAATTCTGCAACATATTTTATGTGTGTGTGCATGTGTGTTTTCTGGTATTTAAAATTTTAACCTTAGAATACTTAAATGGTAATATCCTTTAAATGCGTGTATACATCTTTGGATTTTAAGTCACATTAAAAAAAAAATGTTTTCTGTTGATCACACAGAGCCAAAGAAATCCTCTGTATAAAGCACTTACCTTTAAACATAGAGATGATTAGACTTATTATTAAAGCCCTTGCCTTGATATGCTAGTCTTACCTCTTCCATAAGGTACTGTTGCATGTAAAGTGGTATACAATTTGCATTAAAAGTCACTATATAAAGATCTGGCCACAGTTTATAAAAATGAAAGAAAACCTCTTGGCATTTGAAGTTTAGTATTTTAACCTTTTAATATCTCAGAATATTTCAGAGTAATATGTTAATCTGTGCTTACATCACTATTTACCATCATTTTTGTTCATTCTATCTGGTCTACAAATTAGATGTACTGTATTAGACTGATATGCTGCCTACTGCACTAAGGAGGCAACTTAGAAGTATATGATAAACTTTTTTGTTTTTTCAATTTCACTTTAGGTTCTGGGGTACATGTGCAGGTCATGCAGGGTTGTTGCATAGGTGCATACATAACCAGGTGCTTTGCTGCCTCTATTCCCCCTTTGACTATATCTGACATTTCTCCCCATTTTATCTCTCAAAACTTCTTAGAATACCAGAATTTTGTTTTTTTGAGACCATATCTTGCTCTGTCTCCCAGACTGGAGTGCAGTGGCACGATCTCAGCTCATTGCAACCTCCTCCTTGTTTCAAGCAATTCCCCTGCCTCAGCCTCTTGAGTAGCTGAGATTATAGGCATGTGCTACCATGCCTGGCTAGTTTTTGTATTTTTAGTAGAGATGGGTTTTCATCATGTTGGCTAAGCTGGTCTAAAACTCCTAACCTCAAGTGATCCTGCCTGCCTTGACCTCCCAAAGTACTGGGATTACAGGTGTAAGCCACTGTACCCAGCCATTGTTTTTGATAAACTATTATTAATTTAATCATGGTATGCAGCATACAATATAAAATGGGTTCTGAATAATTTTTCTTTCAGTCCCTTATATAATTTTTGCCTGCCAATGAAAAAAGCTAAAAATTGAAGAATTTTTTAGATTAGATTTTGAATATTACAAATTAATCAAAACTACATTATTAATATGTCTAGGAATTAAGTCACATTGTGAGTCTGTGGTTTGAGTATGGTTACTGTAGTGGTAGAGTAGAACTAACATTTGTTGATGATCCACTTTATTTTATTAATTTGGCCAAGAGCTTTCATATATTTTCTAATTTAATTTTTTATAACATCATGAATATTGGCATTTTATTAATTTTATATACCTGAACTTCAACTAAAATAATTTAAGAAATTAACAAAAGAAGGTTGCTAAACTTTAGTACCTTAGATCAGAATCAAAATTCATATTCTTCCATACACCATGTTGTTTTCCATACTATGCAAGATACATAATTTATACATGCTGGTAAATACTTTACCACTATGTTGCTTTCTCTAAGCTGTTATTATTGCTCTTCCTGGAAGGATATCCTATAGAATCAGAAGGGAAAAATAAAATTCATTTTTGTGTTTTTTTCAGAAAAACACGACAGAAGTTTCTTTCCAAACAGCATGAAGTGCCAACCATGGTGCCTCATGCTTGTAATCCCAGCACTTTGGAGGCCGAGGCAGGTGGAACACCTGAGGTTAGGAGTTCAAGACCAGCTTCACCAACATGGCAAAACCCCATCTCTACTAAAAATACAAAAAATTAACTGGACATGGTGGCAGATGCCTGTAATCCCAGCTACTCGGGAGACTGAGGCAGGAGAATTGCTTGAACTCAGGAGCCGGAAGTTGCAGTGAGCTGAGATTTCACCACTGCACTCCAGCCAGGGCAACAGAGTGAGACAAACAAACAAACAAACAAAACCACGGCATGAAGAATTGATACAGTAGTCCCATCTTATCTGTGGCTTCTTTTTCCATGGTTTCAGTTACTTATGGTCTGAAAATACTAAGGGAACGATTTCAGAAATAAACAGTTCCTAAGTTTTAAATTGCATATTGTTTTGAATAGTGTTGTAATGAAATTTTATGCCATCTTGCCCAGGGTATGAACTGAACTGACTGGCTAGATAGATCCATGCTGAATATTCTACCACTAGTTTTCCACTACTTACAATTTAAATAATGCAATAATAATGATTTTTTAAAGAATTATTATTATGAGACAGGGTATTACTCTGTCATCCACACTGAATCACAATAACAGCTTACTGCAGCCTCTACCTCCCAGACTCCAGCTGAGTTTCACCATGTTGGCCAGACTGGTCTAGAATTTCTGGGCTCAAGTGATCTGCCCATCTTGGCCTTCCAAAGTGCTGGGATTACAGGTGTGAGCCACTGCACCCAACCGGGGCTAATTTTTAATTTTTTTGTAGAGATGAGGTCTCACTATGTTGCTCAGCCTGGTCTGGAACTCCTGGGCTCAAGTGATTCACCTGCCTCGGCCTGCCAAAATGCTGGGGTTACAGATATGAGCCACCATGCTGGCCCTAATCAACTATCTTGATTAACTGTATATTAATCTGTAACAATCCTTGGGCAGAGATCCAATGCTTTACAAACTAAAAGAGCATTTCAAAATTTTTCTGAAGTTTTTTTTTGTAGTTTGACAGTATAAATAAGGTATTTGAGGCCCTCTTTCTGTAACATTACAGTAATATTTTTAAAATTATGTAAGATTTCAAACATACAAGCAATAAAATTATGCTTAAGAAATAATTTCAGATAACATTAAAGCTCCTGATACAGTGCTGCAGACATCTAGATGATGCCATTTGTATTAAAATCTATATCAACAGTGCCCTGTGCTCTGTGCAGATGTACACTACTATAACAGCAGAGCTCTGTCCTATTTTATTCTTCTTTTACCCATTTTCTTTTCTCTCTAGCTTCCCACTGAGGTAATTACCATTCTGAATTTGGTGTTTATCCTTTCCATGCTCACTGTATTATTTGTATTAATTGTGTCTATTCATAAATAGCGGGTAGAGTTGTTTTACTTTGCAACTTGCTATTTTTGCCAACAGTTTGTATTTGAGATTTGTCCATCTGTCCATAGTCAAGTCATTTTAAATGCTGGGTAATATTTCATTCTAAATGTAATTTATTTCTGTTAATGTTGATGGACATTTGGGTTATGTCTAAGCTTTTGCTATTATAAGCAATGCTGCAATATTTTATACATGTTTACATTTACATATATGCATGAATTTATCTAGGCTACATACCAAAGAGGGAATTTGCTAGGCTAGGCCTGTCTTCAACTTCAATAAACTGCCAAATTGCTCTTCAGATGGTTGTAGAAATGTATCTGCCTACCTGGAACATGTATGAGAGTTTTCTTTATTTCACAGGCTTATAACATTTGCTATTATTAGATCTTTAAATTTTTGCTCTTTTTAGTGGTTCGAGATGATATCCCAGTTTTGCAGTACCTATTATTAAAAATAATATTTCTGAATGGATTAATTGATACTAATTCAGTTTAATGAGCATTCCTTGAAATAACAGTTGCTTATGGCTTTTACTTTTGTTAAAGGTATATATTTCTCCCTTATTTTCTATGATTGATTGTCTGTCATATATTTTGGTAGCTCTGGTTGAAGAAGTGTATTTTGCACAGAAGGAACGTGATGAAGCTGTTATGTCTAGACTGCAATTAGCCATTGAGGACAGAGATGAAGCAATTGCGCGAGCCAAGCATATGGAAATGTCTCTAAAAGTGTATGTACTGTACACATTTAAAACTCTCTATGATATTAGGAACATTTATAAAAGGCGTGCTTTATCTGGTAGTTACATATTCAAAAATGTGACTAGGAAATTGCATATCTCCATTCTTTTTCTAAAACCTTTAGCATGCTACTTTGCCTGTCGGGAACAGCAATCAATTTAGAAAAAGAAAGAAAAGAAATGCACATCACTCTCAACAAAATTACTTTCTTTATTTCTTCGTAGTTTGTTGTTCCTTCCTATGTGACTCCTTTTCTTATTATCTCCTCCTCTTTATCACTTTTTAAATTTATTTCAGTTATCTGAGTCTTTCACTGCTCTTTGTTTAATATCGCTGTTTCTGTTTTTTACTACTTTTTACTTGCAGTTTTTTTAGCTTTGGTTTTTAAACTTTAGTGATACTTGGAGTACGGTGGAGCCTAAGAATACACATTTTTTTACAAGAAACCCAGGTGATTCTGATAGGTAAATGATGGACTGCACTTAATGAAACAATGCCCTAGACATATGTACTGCTCAAATTTTAATGTGCAATCCGATCACTTGGGGATCTTGTCAGAATGCAGATTCTGGTTCATTAGGTTTGGGCTGGGACCAGAGATTCTGTCCTTATAACAATCTCCAAGATGTTACTCATGATGCTAGTCTAAGGAATAGGCTTTGGGTGGAAAGACCCTAGAACATCTAGAAATATGTTACCTGCACAGATAGATAGAATGCAGTAATCTAATATTTAATGATGATCAATCAGCATACTTATGGCATGTTTACTTTGTCCAGTGTTGTACTAGGCTCTTTGGAGGAACAGAGTAAAGTACTAATTAAAACATGGTTTACCGGGGAGACAAAAAGCCATAAATAATAATATGTGTTCAAGTTGTGATTAGGTAATATTTGTTTTTGGTCTAGATTAATGACTTTTTTTTTGAAGATTGATAGGCTCATTATACGGCATCAAACTCACTGGAAAAACACAGAAACAAAAATTTCACCTAAATTCTACAATGCCTATTCCAGAATAACCATCTTTATCTATAGGGAAACATTATTTCAAACATTTTCTCTTATATACTTAAAAACCATTACCTAGAAGGATAGATGGCCTGCCATTGATTAGAGGTAGTCAAAGAATTAATTGATTAAAAATCAAGTAATTCTCTACATGTTGTATTTGAGAGGCAGTGTAGTGTAGAGGTTAAGAGCACAGATTCTGGATCCAGTCTATTCTTGAATATCGGGTTTGATGCCTCCTTGCTGTATAGTCATGGACAAATTATCCGAAGTCTACACGGCTCAGTTTTTTGACCTACAAAATGTATATAATAGTGCAGTTAATGAGGACCTATACAGGTTGTCATGAGGACTAAATTACCTATTGACTATGTATGTATATATATGTATATATGTAAAATATATATAAAATTAAAAGATGTATATGTACGTGTTGTTGGTTTGTTCAGAGACAGTCTTGCTATATCACACAGGCTGGAATGCAGTGGTGTGATCAGAGCTCATTGCAGACTTGAACTGGACTCAAGTGATCTTCCTACCTCAGCCTCCCAAGGAGTTGTGGCTACAGGGACTGTAGAAACATGCCACCATGCTCGGCTAATTTTTAAAGTTTTTTGTAGAGATTGGGTCTCACTGTGTTGCTCAGACTGGGGTCAAACTGTAGGCCTCAAGTGATTCTTTTACCTTGGCCTCCCAAAGCCCTGAGATTACAGGCATGAGCCACTGCACCCAGCCAAATCACTAAATATTGAAAAGTATGTGGCTCATAGTGAGTGCTATGTAAGTGTTAACTTCAATTTAAGAGTAATAGTCAATTGAAGTGAAACTGAAGAAAATTTTGAACTTCATGCAGTATTTTCTCTCTATAGCTATATTAATTTTCTAAACACCCTTCTAATATTAAGCAATGAGACTGAAAAAAATTAAGGTGTTGGAGTCAGCAACATTTTTTTTTCTTTTTCTTTTATTTAATATATATTTATTTTTAAAAATTGAACAGAACCACATTTTGCCATGTTGCCCAGGCTGTTCTCCAACTCCTGGACTCAAGCAATTTGCCCGCCCCAGCCTCCTAAAGTGTTAGGACTACAGGCATGAACCACTAGGCCTGGTCAAAATTTTCTCATTATTTTTTCAGTTAACGATACCATGTAACTCTCAGGTATGGATTGACCTTAAAATAAGAAGTTAAAGTAAAATTAATATAAGTAGAGAGTTTACTGGGGCCAAGTTTGAGGATTGCAGCCTGGGAGCGTAGATTCACATTGCTCTGAAATACACTTCTATTAGCAGGAGTTATAAATGGACTTTTGTTTATTTTTTCTTTTTTTAAGTTTTAA